CCTATTAGGCCTATAGTTGATTTTAGAAATTCACCTACTTATGAATTTTCTAAATATTTAGACATGGTATTAAATCCCCTAAAAAGCCACTCGAAATCTAGACTAACTAATTCTTATGAACTAAAACACAGATTAGATCATTTAAAATTAGATAATGAAGAAAAAATGGTTAGTTTTGACATTATCAGTTTATATACATACACGCATAACAATAAATATGGCTATAGAGGCAGTCAGGAACGAACTCAATTCTGACCAAGAAGTCGAACTCAGGACAAAAGTGCCACTCGAGGATATAATGCTGTGAGTGCAGCTATGCCTGACTTCCACAGTATTTAAATTCCAAGGGAAAATATACAAACAAACTGAGGGAGTTTCCATGGGATCACCAATATCCCAGGTTGTAGCAGATATATTCATGGATAGGTGGGAAAGCATAGCGATTGAAACGTTCACCCCCACCCCAAAAGTATGGTGGAGATATGTAGATGACACATTCACTGTACTTAGAACACAAGATATATAATAGATTTTTCAAGCACATCAACTCGAAGGTAGAGGCAATTCAATTCACTTATGAATTGGAAAGTCAAGAAAGGGAACTTCCAATGTTAGATTGCAACGTAAAAAGGAATGAAGATGGGAAGTTAAACACTAGTGTTTACAGAAAACCCACACATTCAAACAGATATTTGGATTTCCGATCATCCCATCCTATGTCAGTAAAAATAGGATTAGTGAAATGTTTAAATGACAGAGCACAAAAACTAAGTAGTACCAAGGAAAATCTAAGACAGGAAGTGATACACATAAAAGAAGCCTTGAAACTTAATAATTACCCGGATAAATTAGTCAAGAAATATGTAAGTAAATGTAAAAATAAAATAAATAATGATAATAGCGATAGTGATAATAATAATATTAACTAATAATAATAATAATGGTAATAATAATAGTGATATTAATGACGACACCAACAATAAGGAATCTAAATCATCAGTAGTAATTCCATACAAAGAAGGAACCTCGGAAACCATCTTACGCAGAATTCTTAACAAGGCAAGCAGGAATAAAAGTGTCTGGCATTCGAGCCACCCACAAACTCAATTGGAAACAAGATTTGTCAGTTAAAGGATCAATCCTTTGGACACTTTAAAATAAAACAATTAATTTATCTAATACCCTGTGTGCAATGATTGCCAGGTCAAATACATAGTTCAAAGTAGTAGAACAGGAGCAGTAGGCTAGCCGAGCATATGAACCTAGCAAAGTCTAGATTAGTTGACCCGAATAAGATAAGAAATCTAGAGGATAGTTAACCTATAGCACTACATGCAGTTACACACAACCATACAATAGGGATGGGATAGGATGACAGTTTTAAAATCTAATGTACCAGGGTGGAAGGACAGATTGATAACAGAAGCTTTATTTATCGAATCAACTGAATGAAAATACGTGTAATAGGAATGATTCAACACCTGTCCCAGATATAAGGAAAATTCTACTGCCCATACGACAAATAGAAGACAGAGAAAACTATAAAACTCAAATCTCGAAGTCGTGTGACAAAAAGTGATATGATTATGAACAATAATGAATTGTTGAATTGAATCTTTGTTTTTCCCGTCGATTGATTGGACCGAAGTGCTCGGTCTCAGGTTGATTGATTTGTAGATCTTTTAATCAAATCTATAGGGATGTTGTTTGACGCCTGATATAGTATTTTTGTTTATAAATGTGGTGTTATCACAAGATCGTATGACTAACTCTCTAGCATAATAAAGTGATTATATTTGACGCATCTTGTTTTTTTTTTATACACTGTACAATACACTCAAGTGTGGTAGTCATCACGTCGCCTAATGTCAAGGGGTCGTGATGGTGGTTACGTATTCAAACGGTTTGAAAAAGTCTTTTTGTCATTCTTGTCGTAATGTAACTATTTTTTGAAAGCACTTTTCAGCTTTTGTTCTGTAATTTGTTATTATGATTGAACAGTTAAATTGTATGACAATAGAATGAAACACTGAATAATTAGAGTTATTATTGACATGTGATTATGACCATTTACGAATGAATACTTCTTGAAGCTGATTTATAATTTCTCATTAATTATATGATTATTATTATTAGCAGTAGTAGCAAATTAGTAAGTGTAAACATTCACTTTCCAATACAAGCTAAAAACAAGCAAAAATGTCGGGTTGATGTCAGTTGGAGAACCACTGGAAAATACTGAGTACATGGTATGTACTGGTCGAGAATTTAATAGTCCTGACGCAAAAAAGACGGAAATCAGAAGACCACTAGGTTTGAGATGATACTTCTATTTTCCAAAACACCAGGAGAATCAATGTCACACAAGTGTGAGAGAGCAATTTAGTGTGAATGTCCGAACTAGTGTGTGAGCGAATATTCAAAATGAACAAATCAATAGACAGTCTTAAGATGATTGGCTAATTATAATGGAATATCGATCCATATATACCTAGCAAATATAACAGACTGTCAAACAAACACACATATCATATGGATACATATCAGTACAGGATAGCTGTTTCGTCCTAGTTTGTGAATCATTGGCAGTGCTCACCTACCGCCAGGGGTCGAACCGAGGATCTTTCGGTTTCAAGGCAAGCTCGAATACCATTTTAACCACTGGGACCCAACTCATTGACCAATCCATGAACTCCAACTCCTACCAATTCGTTATTCTACCGTGTCTGGCCCAAGTCAATATTATCGGCAAGTATTTACCCTCGCTCCCGACTGGACGAATCCCTATGGTTACGTGTGTGCACATCCAGGATGCGCATTTCGTCCTATTTGGGACTCGTCAGCTGGATGTACCTGCATTTCTCAGTGAGTGATGATGTTCCCACCGAGGCTCGAACCCAGTACCCATAGTTTCAAACGCCAAAGCGTTATCCACTAGACCACTTGGGCCACGAGAGCCACCTGTTGTGCAACGGGTCATATTAATTATTGAATTGAATCTTTGTTTTTCCCGTCGATTGATTGGACCGAAGTGCTCGGTCTCAGGTTGACATGTCGGCTCCTTGTGCAGATGGTTCGACGATGTCCGGGCATTTAGTTAGTATACAATTGGTGGATGGTGGCTAGCAGTGGAATCCAGGATGCGCATTTCGTCCTATTTGGGACTCGTCAGCTGGATGTACCTGCATTTCTCAGTGAGTGATGATGTTCCCACCGAGGCTCGAACCCAGTACCCATAGTTTCAAACGCCAAAGCGTTATCCACTAGACCACTTGGGCCACGAGAGCCACCTGTTGTGCAACGGGTCATATTATTTATTGAATTGAATCTTTGTTTTTCCCGTCGATTGATTGGACCGAAGTGCTCGGTCTCAGGTTGACATGTCGGCTCCTTGTGCAGATGGTTCGACGATGTCCGGGCATTTAGTTAGTATACAATTGGTGGATGGTGGCTAGCAGTGGAATCCAGGATGCGCACTTCGTCCTATTTGGGACTCGTCAGCTGGATGTACCTGCATTTCTCAGTGAGTGATGATGTTCCCACCGAGGCTCGAACCCAGTACCCATAGTTTCAAACGCCAAAGCGTTATCCACTAGACCACTTGGGCCACGAGAGCCACCTGTTGTGCAACGGGTCATATTATTTATTGAATTGAATCTTTGTTTTTCCCGTCGATTGATTGGACCGAAGTGCTCGGTCTCAGGACATCGTAGAAGCATCTGCACAAGGAGCCGACATGTCGACCTGAGACCGAGCACTTCGGTCCAATCAATCGACGGGAAAAACAAAGATTCAATTCAATAAATAATATGACCCGTTGCACAAGAGGTGGCTCTCGTGGCCCAAGTGGTCTAGTGGATAACGCTTTGGCGTTTGAAACTATGGGTACTGGGTTCGAGCCTCGGTGGGAACATCATCACTCACTGAGAAATGCAGGTACATCCAGCTGACGAGTCCCAAATAGGACGAAATGCGCATCCTGGATTCCACTGCTAGCCACCATCCACCAATTGTATACTAACTAAATGCCCGGACATCGTCGAACCATCTGCACAAGGAGCCGACATGTCAACCTGAGACCGAGCACTTCGGTCCAATCAATCGACGGGAAAAACAAAGATTCAATTCAATAAATAATATGACCCGTTGCACAACAGGTGGCTCTCGTGGCCCAAGTGGTCTAGTGGATAACGCTTTGGCGTTTGAAACTATGGGTACTGGGTTCGAGCCTCGGTGGGAACATCATCACTCACTGAGAAATGCAGGTACATCCAGCTGACGAGTCCCAAATAGGACGAAATGCGCATCCTGGATTCCACTGCTAGCCACCATCCACCAATTGTATACTAACTAAATGCCCGGACATCGTCGAACCATCTGCACAAGGAGCCGACATGTCAACCTGAGACCGAGCACTTCGGTCCAATCAATCGACGGGAAAAACAAAGATTCAATTCAATAAATAATATGACCCGTTGCACAACAGGTGGCTCTCGTGGCCCAAGTGGTCTAGTGGATAACGCTTTGGCGTTTGAAACTATGGGTACTGGGTTCGAGCCTCGGTGGGAACATCATCACTCACTGAGAAATGCAGGTACATCCAGCTGACGAGTCCCAAATAGGACGAAATGCGCATCCTGGATTCCACTGCTAGCCACCATCCACCAATTGTATAATAATGAATTGTGTTCGAAAGGTCATCCAGTATACAATACTGTTTAACTTTGTGATACATTTAATAAACAAACTAATATGCAAGTCTCTGAACTATACAAAAGAACTGAATGATTTGACAATCTCGTAAATTCAAATCTTGTTTTTGATGCTTAACCCAATAGATTTTAAGACTGATTTCTGACTTTGACGCATTCACTCATATACCGCCGGTAATTGAGAGACGATGCTGTTTAGATAAGTGGAATTTCTCCTGTTGGTGGTGTTAGGTGCTAATTCTTGGTTGGTTATTTCCATCACCTCTATCCTCCCTATATTCATTTTAGGTCCTATCTACGCTGCTTCTGTTGCTGACTTGTTGCTTTTCACCTTTTGACCTTCGTGTTTCTCTGACATCAGACCTAAATCATCCACGAAGCTCAGATCTACTAGAGAATTCAAAGAATACTATTATGAATTCAGGAGTAAATAAGATTGATTTGCCTAGAATTTACGTTTTTTATATATGTAACAAAAGTTCAGACCTGTTCTACTGATAATTTATATCTATATTTAGGTTGTTTTTCCCCCAGTGCTGTCTGTTGTTGAAGTTGATTTCTCTATGGTAATTATGTAATGAGAGCTGTTGGCTAGCCAAAATTGGTAGACAGCAATTGACGTCAATGTTTACGTTCCATATGTGGGTCATGAGGAAAATCACGAACAAAGACTAACTCAATAACCAATCACAGTAGACTTTGCGTGGGCGGATACGATTCGCAGATATATGGATAATTTTGTAAGGAACGCTCACAAGCAGTACAGAATAACCTTCAGCAGGAGAAATAACCAATTCGAAGACGCTGTTTCTCTGTTAATAATGTCGAATAATAATGTGCATAAAAATATATAAATATCTGAATAAAAATTCCCATTAAAATTTTCAAAAGAATGCATACTGAACAAAGAGTACTCTTTTCGATGAATTCATCATCAGGCTCTACATTTATACATACATTATAGTGATTGAATGAATGAGTTAGTGTTATGAACAAGATTAATGTTGCTGTTTAAATAACATCGAATCGATAATATTGATAGATTACAGCTCAGTAGCATCAACATAAAATAAGCTGAATGTCAGAAAAATTAGGAAAAATAACAATAATATAAATCCATGAATTTATAGTCTCTACTGAAGGCCGGCCAGGTCAGTAGTAGTGGGTGACTGAACTTGCTTCTTTTGCACACAAAGCGAAGGTTGTTTCACGCAAATTACAATAGCCTCTGCTCTTTGGAGCATGCGGTATTTCGATGCTTTTGGCAATTTATTTGTCATCCGGTAGACGATAGAGGAGGATTCTTCAATGGTGGCTGGTTTGGACCATATGCTCTAATATCGAACTGTTAATGGCTTTCGCTACCCCTTTACATAAGCCATACTGGGAGATGTTCTTGAGACAGCACGAAAAATCTAGCAACGGCCGATATAACTCGCTCCACTACAATCGCAGTTGAGTTGGTAGATACAATCAGAAGTGGCTAACTAGTCTAGGTACTTCATCTTTCAGTCAAAGAATCACCATCGGCCGTGTAGAGAATAATAGGTGTACTTCTTTAGCATTAAAAGTGCTTTGAACTGATTTTCTTAATTTCTTCGCAATTATCTCGCTTGGTATATCACCCATGAATTGTAGTCGTATATAAAGAGGCTTCTTGTTTACAGATAGTGAGTAGGCCTTTTCTGCCGCTTCCTTTGTCATGTGTTTCTTGATAAATTTGTCGGGATAGCTATTTTCGATCAAAGTATCATATACCATGCTTAATTCATCTTCAATTACTTCTTCTGAGCATATAGCTCTAACTCTGTGGCTGAGGATCTTCACTAAATTTATTTTGTGCTTGATAGGAACGAAGCTGTGAAAATGTGTATATTGTCCTGTCCAAGTGCTTTTTCTATGCAAATTTCTTTTTATGCTACATTCTGGTTTTCTTGTAAGTAGGACATCCAGGAAGGCAATTCTGTCTTGGGATTCCTCTTCGCATGTGAATTTCATAGCCGAATGTACTTCATTGAATTCAGTAATTCTTTTACTCCTATCAGAACCAAGCGCAATTCAACTGCGCTTATGGAGCGAGTTATATAAGCCATTGCTCTAGGAACGTGATTTTTCGTGCTCTCTCGAGAACATCTCACAGCATGGCTAAGTAAAGGTGTAGTGAAAACTATTAACAGCTCGATATTGGAACATCTGGTGCAAACCGGCCACAAAGCCAGCGCAGAAGAATCCTTCTGTATATTATACTCATGAATTTTTATAATTATCTTTCCTAATTCTTCTGACATTCAGCTTATTTTATTTTGATGCGATTCACCTGTATATTATTATTATTATTGCTCCCTTGGGTTCCTAGTGGAACATAGGGCTTCAACTGCACGTCTCCATTTTCTTCTGTCTTCTGCTGTACTTTTCGCCTGCATCCATGTTAGTCCATATTCTTTCAACTCCTCTTCACACGATCTCCTCCATGTCACCCTTGGACGTCCCACACGCCGCTTCCCTTTCGGGTTCCACTCGAGGGCTTGGCGCGCGATGTCACCCAGCGGTCTCCTCAGCGAGTGTCCGATCCATCTCCACTTTCTCCTGCATATTTGTTGGGCGATTGGTTCTTGCTTTGTTTGTTCCCATAATTCCTTGTTGGTGATTCTTTCCGGCCATCTGATCTTCAGTATTGAGCGAAGACAGTTGTTAATAAAGGTCTGCAGCCTTTTGGAAATATTCTTTGTGACCCGCCAAGTTTCTGATCCGTATAGAAGAACTGACTTTACGTTTGTATTGAAAATCCGAATTTTGTTGGTGATGCTGAGTGACGAAGATTTCCAGATTGATTTCAGGCTGATGAATGTGTTTCTCGCCTTCCCGATTCTCGCTCGATTTGACATCCTCGTCCGCTCCTCCTGTAGTTGAGACAATGCTCCCTAGATAAGTGATGAATGAAGTAACCTCTTTCAAATCCCTCCCGTTGATGGTGATTGACGTTGGATGTTTGTTGCTGTTGTTGGTTGGTTATTTTCATAACCTCCGTCTTGTCTATGTTTACCTGGAGTCCTGTCTTCGCCGGCTGCTTCTTCGACCAGTTTGTCGGTTTTCGCTTGTAAGTCTTCGATTGTGTGTGACATCAAACATAAATCATCCGCGAAATCCAGGTCTTCTAGGTTCTTCACGTCGGTCCAGGATATTCCTGTCTTCTCGTTTCCCACTGTCTGACGCATAATCCAGTCCCACCACAATTAGGAATATCATTGGTGATAGTAAGCACCCTTGTCTGACTCCTGTGTTTACTCCAAACGCCTCGCTGAGTTTTCCGTTGTGGATCACTTGACATGTGCCGTTGTCGTACAGCTGTTGAATAAGGTTGATGAATATTTGGGGTACGCCATAGTACTCGAGTAATTTCCAAATTACTTCACGATCAACGCTGTCGAAGGCCTTCTCAAAGTCTATAAAGTTGAGGTAGAGGTTTGATTGCCATTCCATGCTTTGTTCTGTGATGATGATGCGTAGAGTTGCAATTTGGTCAGTACATGATTTGCCTTTCCTGAATCCAGCTTGTTCTGGTCGGAGTTCTGTCTCCAGTGCGTCCTTTAATCTCTCCAGGATGATGCGACTCAGGATTTTACTTGGCGTCGATAGGAGCATGATTCCTCGCCAGTTCTTGCAGAGTGAGGCCTAAGTCGCCCTTCTTTGGTAGTTTCACGAGGTAACCTTTCCTCCAGTCAGTAGGCACCTTTCCCTCCTTCCAGACCTTTTGCAATAATGGAGTCAGCATGTCTGCTGTCGTCTCTGGGTCTGCTTTCAGTGCTTCAGGGGGTATTCCATCTGGTCCGGCTGTTTTTCCAGCTTTCAGAAGCTTGATTGCGTTCAAGACTTCAGCTCTCGTTGGAGGATTGGTGTCAACTTGCAGTTGTGTGCGCGCTGTTGTTGGTATTTCTGGACGGGTTGCAGGTGATGGTCGGTTCAAGAGTCCTTTGAAGTGATCCGCCCATTGTTTAATCTGTTTTTCTTCCTTGGTAATGGGGTTCCCTTGGCTGTCTTTTATAGGTTTCGCTTGTGTTGGTCTCTTCCCGGATAGAGATTTGGTTATCTGATATAGTGTCCTCAGGTCCCTTTTGCCTGCTGCCTTCTCAGCTTCAGTGGCTAGATTGTCGTAGAATCGTCTTTTGTCCTTCCTAGCACTCTTCTTCACTTCTTTGTCCAGTGCTTTGTAAGTTGAGCTCAGCGTCTCCTTCTCCTGTCCGTCCTTGCATTGAATCATTTTCTCTTTCACCATTCTCCTCTCTTCTATTAATTTCCAAGTGTCCGTTGAGAGCCATTCCTTGTCTTGTCTCTTCTTTCTTCCTAGAACCGTTGAACACGTTTCGTTGAGAATCGCCTTCAGAGACTTCCAATGTTCTTCCACGCATGATTCTTCAGTGATGTCGCGTAGTGTTTCCTGCTTTGCTCTGACAGTTGCAGTGAAATTGTCTTTTGTGGTTGTGTCCTTCAGTAATTGAGTGTTGAACTTGCATTGTGGCCTATCCCCAGCTATCCTCGAGGCTTTTAGTTTCACCTTGAAAGTCCCTTGTACTAGATAGTGGTCTGAACCCACATCTGCTCCTCTCCTTGACCTTGTGTCCAGTAGGCTCCGTCTCCACTTTCTTGAAATTGAGATGAAGTCTATTTGATTTTTGGTGTTTCCATCTGGTGAAATCCATGTCGTCTTGTGTATATCCTTGTGTTTGAACACACTACCACCAATCACCAAATCATTGAAGGCGCAGAAGTCTGAGAAGAGTTCACCATTGTCGTTCATTTCACCGAGGGCCTCACGACCCATGGTGAGTTCTCTTCCTGTGTTGTCTCCTCCCAGCTTCGCATTCATGTCGCCCATCAGGATTTTGATATCGCCATTTGGGACGTTGTCCATTATTGCTTGTAGTTGTCTGTAGAACGCCTCCTTCTTCTCTTGTTCTGAGACGTTTGTAGGCGCATAGCATTGAATGACTGTAACTTTCCTTCCTTTTGAGTTGAACCTGGCTGTCATTATCCTGGAGGAGATTGGTTCCCACTGCATGAGAGCTTTGGTTGCTGTTGGTGACATCATGATGGCCACTCCCTCGGTGTGCTCATGGTTGTCCTCTGGGTGGCCGGAATAGATTACTGTCTCTCCAGTAGGTAGTTGGCACCTTCCAGTTCCGTTCCATCTGCTTCCGCAGATTCCCAACACTTCTATTCTGTACCTTCTCATTTCAGCGGCTATCTGGGCAGCCTTTCCAGTTTCGTACATTGTACGAACATTCCAGGTACCCATCCTTACTTTTGCTTTCATCGAAAGAAGGCACATCGGCTGACTGGCTTCCCGAAGGCTTTCACCAGCCTGCGTCATTTCACTTCCCCGATTCCAGCGAAAAGTAAGGCTATTGCTTATGTTTTTAGAATTTTTAATATATTTATTCGTTGAAGTTTCTGTAGCGATTTGGTTGTTTTACAGGGGTGGAGTTGCTAGCACCACGCCCCAACCCTCCCTCTTTACCCGGGCTTGGGACCGGCGAGAAAACTAGTAAGCTAGTAGCCTAGCAAGCTAGTATCTGGCGATTCAGCTGTAATCTATCAATATTATTGGTTCGATGTTATTTACACAACATGAATGTTGTTCATAACACTAATCCATTCATCCATTCATTAACTATAATGTATGTATAAATGTATAGCCTGATGATGAATATTAGTATCTATTGATTTCCTCAATTAACACCCTGTTTCCTCGCCCTTGTCTTCGGTCGTTACAATTAGGGTTTTTTACTTATATATTGATATCGTTGAAGTTATTATTAAACTTTCTAAAAGGCTAATGAGTAACTTGACTGTGTGTATGTGTGTGATTTATAGATTCTATGCACTTACATTCACTTGTTTTGTATGTGTTTCAAAGTTTTGTAGATCTTTTAATCAAATCTATAGGGATAT